TGCCTCAGCTTCCCAAGTAGCTGGGACCACAGGCGCCCGCCACAATGCCCGGCTATTTTTTGGTTGCAGCCATCATTGTTGTTTGGCAGGCCTGGGCTGGATTCGAACCCGCCACCTTGAGTGTACATGGCTGGCGTCTTAGCCACTTGAGCCACAGGCGCCAAGCCACAAGGAAGTATTGATAATTTCTTCTGTGTACTTATCTTTTCTTTGGGGATATATACCCAGAAATAGGATTACTAGATCACATGATATTTCTATTTTGGAGGAATTTTCACTGTTTTCCATAATATGGCACTTTTTCCTGACAAGAAGGAGTAATATTAGCAAAATACAGGCATCCCTTGGTATCCATGAAGAATGGTCCTAGGATCCCCACTCCCCCATACTAAAGTCCTTGGATGCTAATGTCCCTCATATAAAATAGCATAGTATTTGCATATAACCTACATGCATCCTTCTGTATATTTAAAAATTGAGATAGGCATCTTTATATATTGCCTAGGCTGGACTTGAACTCCTTAGCTCAAGTGATCCTCTGCCTCCCCAGTATCTGAGACTATAGGTGTACACCATTGCTCTTAGCTCTCCCATATACTTTATTTATTTATTTTGTAGAGACAGTGTCTCACTTTATCACCCTCGGTAGAATGCCGTGGCATCACATAGCTCACAGCAACCTCCAACTCCTGGGCTTAGGCAATTCTGTTGTCTTAGCCTCCTGAGTAGCTGGGACTACAGGTGTCCACCACAATGCCTGGCTTTTTTTTGTTGTTGTTGTTACAGGTCAGCCAGGGCAGGGTTTGAACCCACCACCCTCGGTATATGGGGCTGGCGCCCTGTTCACTGAGCCATAGGCACCGCCCTCTCCCATATACTTAAAATTGTCTCCATTTTTTTTGAGACAGAGTCTCATTTTATTACCTTTAGTAGAGTGCTGTGGTGTCATAGCTCACAGCAATATCAAACCCATGGGCTCAAATGATTCTTCTTTTTTTTTTTTTTTTTTGAGACAGTCTCAAGCTGTCACCCTGGGTAGAGTGCTATGGCATCATAGCTCACAGCAACCTCCAACTCGGCTCAAGCGATCCTCTTGCCTCAGTTTTTCTATTTTTAGTAGAGAAGGGGTCTTACTTTTGTTCAGGCTGGTCTCAAACCCATGATCTTAGGCAACCAGCCCTTCTGGCCCCAAGTGATTCTCTTGCCTGAGCCTCCCAAGTAGCTGGGACTAAGGCACCTGCCACAATGCCTGGCTATTTTTAGAAAGGAGGTCTCACTCTGGCTCAGGCTGGTCTTGAACCCCTGAGCCCAGGCAATCTGCCTGTCTTGGCCTCTCAGAGTGCTAGGATTACAGGCAGGAGCCACCATCCCCAGCCCTTGTTTTTTTTTTAGACAGAGTCTTGCTGTTGCCCTGAGTGGAGTACAGAGGCATCTTTGTAGCTCACTGCAACCTCCAACTCCTGGGCTCAAGAGATCCTCTGGGCGGCACCTGTGACTCAGTGGGTAGGGTGCCAGCCCCATATATCAAGGGTGGCAGGTTCAAACCCAGCCCTGGCCAGACTGCAACAACAACAAAAATAGCCAGGCGTTATGGCAAACACCGGTAGTCCCAGCTACTCGGGAGGCTGAGGCAAAAGAATCGCCCAGGAGTTGGAGGTTGCTGTGAGCTGTGTGATACCATAGCACTCTACCAAGGGTGATAAAGTGAGACTGTCTCTACAAAAAAAAAAAAAAATCCTCCCACGTCAGACTCCCAAGTAGCTGGGACTACAGGTACACACAACCATGCCTGGCTAATTTTTTTATTTTGAGTGAGTAAAGACAGGGTCTCACTCTTGCTGAGGCTGGTCTTGAATTCCTGAGCTCAAGCCACCTTCCCACCTTAGTGTCCCAGAGTGTTCCGACCGCCCCATTTTTTTTTTTTTTTTAAACAGAGTGCCACTTTGTTGCCCTTGGTAGAGCGCTATGGCATCACAGCTCACGGCAACTTCAAACTCTTGGGCTCAAGTGATTCTCTTGCCTCAGCCTCCTTAGTAGCTGAGACTACAGGTGCCCGCTACAATGCCAGGCTATTTTTTTTTAGAGATGAGGTCTTCCTCTGGCTGAGGCTGGTCTTGAACCTGTGAGCTCAGGCATTCTACCCGCTTTGGCCTCCCAGAGTGCTAGGATTATAGGCATGAGCCACTGCACCCGGCCTCCCTCAGATTTTTTTTTTTTTTGAGACAGAGCCTCAAGCTATCGCCCTGGGTAGAGTGCCATGGCATCACAGCTCACAGCAACCTCCAACTCCTGGGCTTAAGTGATTCTCTTGCCTCAGCCTCCAAGTAGCTGGGACTACAGGCACCTGCCACAATGCCCGGCTATTTTTTGGTTGTAGTTGTCATTGTTTGGCAGGCCGGGACGGATTCGAACCTGCTACCTTAGGTGTGTGTGGCTGGCGCGTTAGCCACTTGAGCTATAGGTGCCACCCCCCTCACATATTTTTAATCTGCAGCTAGTTAAAGCCACGGATAAAGAATCCATAGGTATTGGTAGCCAACTATAGTCAAGGAAAATGAAAGAAATATGTGGAGGGAAAAAAACCAAGAAATGATGCAAAGTTAAGAGCATAGAGGAAGGGAGAGTTTCTTGTACCTGAGGCCTGGAAGCTGCAACAGGAAGGGTCAGGCTCTTGGGGTGGAATAAACAGGAAGGCCTGTGTGGGTTCATCTTCCATGCTCTGGACTGATGCACAAGAAAAGTTGCTCTAAGCACAGCTCCTTCATAGAATCTCAGGGTTCCATTTCTGGTTTTCTACCCATGTCAGACTACAAACCCTTCAAGGTCTAGTCTAATCTCCCAGCTCCCACTGATACAAGATCCAAACAATAAAAGTGTCCTCACCTTCCAGGCTCTGATTCTCTCTCTCCACAAAGCACTGAGTAGCTTGTAGGTCCAGATCTTCAGAATCTAGTAGGGGAGGAATATTGGAAAGATAGTTAAAGAAATCATATCTGTCCCTTAACTCCTTACTTAATCTCTACTCTTTTCTTCCTAACTACAACCCTCTGAACTTCCATAGTTTATTTTAGCAGTGAAGGAAGGGAGAAAGGCCAGAACTTACCATCATGGTTGTCTTCAAAGTCCTTGGTTGTCCCCATGTATTGTTCTCTCTCTCTTCCTGTGAAAGTCTGGCATCCTCTGTAGGGCTGGGTGGGTTCCTTTAGAGTGCCTGTGTCCACTACCAGATCTGTGAGGTTCTCCCATGAGACAGGGATAAGGTCCTGCTCCACTTGTGCCACAGGTGATCCACCCTGGGGCCCCACCTCAAGAGCTCTTTCCTGCTCAGGAACAACTGCGGCCCACTTTGTGCCAGCATCCCCTTCTACTGGAAGCTGGCTCTTTCTTCCATCTGCCACTGCTGAGCCTGATAAGGATGTGCCTTCCTCTGCATCTGTTTCATAGTCCTCATTCAGAGGAGGCTGGGCTTCCTCTAGAGGTACCATAGGCAGCTTTGCAGCCCCCCTCTCTGTTACCACATCTGTTTGATATGTCCTCTCCACAGACACCTGATGCTTCTCTAGATATACAATGTCTTCCTCCTCCACTTCTGTGTTGATATCCACTGTGCTAGAGGCTTGGCTTCTCTCCAGGTGGATCCCAAGTGAGATCTTATCGGCTTCTACATCTATATCACTATCCCCAAGAGGAGGTTGGTTTTCTTCTGAATGTGCTATAACAAGGGCTCCATCTTTTTCTGCGTGACCCTCAGGGATGGTTTCTCTCTCTTCCACTGGGAGCCCTTCCTCCTCTACATCTGTGTCGCTGTCTCTCCCACTGGAGGTTCGGCTTTGCTCCACAAAGATCACAGGTTGGGCCCTATTCTCTTCCACGTTTGTATCTCTGTTCCATATAACAACCTGGCTCTCTTTCAAACGTGCTAAAGTGAGTGCTGCTGAGACTTCTTCCTCATCGTCTGTATCACTGTTGATCACCATGGAGGCCTGGCTTTTCTCCAGTGGGATGGCCTGTGGAGCCTCACTCCTCTCTACATCTGTATCACTGCCAGCCTGGCTCTCCCGCAGATGTGCCAATTCAGGTGTTCCAGTACCCCTTGTACCAACTCCATGGAACATTTGCCTCTTCTTCACAGGAAATACAGCTGGGGTTGCCAGGATTCCCTCTTCTTCCACATCACTATCACTGTCAATAATGCCACAAGGCTGAGCCCTTTCTAAATGGACCTCAGCTGGCCTTCCATGAGGTCTGCTCTCATCATCCACATCTGTATCACTGTCTTCCCCAGAAGGTTGGCTCCTCTTCAGAATCATTGGAACCACTCCATTTCCTGCATCCCTTTTAATGTTTGTGTTATTGTCTCTCACTTTCACTGAAAGCTGATCCTTTTCAAGCTGGATTTGGGTTGTACCTCCATCAGCTGCAGGCTGCTCTGCTTCTGCAGTGGCACCTCTTCCGGCAGTGAAGACCTCCCCTGTTGCTAGTTGTTGACCTTCCTCTTCATCTGTGTCACTGTCTAAGTTGAAGACAAAAGGTGGCCCATGGCCACCTGGGGAAGAGGAAGGCCCCTCTTCATCACTGCAAAGGGAGAGGAGAGAGAGAGACTATGGAATCTATTTCGAAGAAAGGGATACCCTACTCAACTGTGGGCTCCTTGAGGGCAGACATAAGGAGGTATTTGCTTTCTGTTTCCAGCAATTAGATTTCCTTTTCTTTTTTTTTTTTTTTTTTTGAGACAGTTTCAAAATCACCCCTGGTAGGCTGCCGTGGTGTCTCAGCTCACAGCAACCGCAAACTCTTGGGCTCAAGAGATTCTCTTGCCTCAGCCTCCCAAGTAGCTGGGACCACAGGCGCCTGACACAACGCCTGGCTATTTTTGGTTGCAGTTGTCATTTTGGTCCAGTTGTTTAGCTGGCTGGGGCCGGGTTCGAACCCGCCAAATTTGGTGTATGTGGCTGGCGCTATAACCATGTGCTATGGTTACCAAGCCAGCAATTAGTTTTCCAACTGGCACATCAGAGGTGTTCCATAAAAATCCAGCTGAGTGAATGAATATGTACACCCTAGTCCCAACTTTCTTTTTTTTTTTTTTTTTTTTGAGACAGAGCCTCAAGCTATCCCCCTGGGTAGAGTGCCATGGCATCACGCTCACAGCAACCTCCAACTCCTG